GTCTAGTTGTGTGTTTGTAGAGAGAGGCGAGCCGCGCTGCCTTGCTGGGACACAGAGGAGACAGAGGTGTGTGTTTCTGTCGGTCCAGTGAGTTGCAGCTGCCCTTTTTTTAACGTACTGTTGAACTCTGAGTTTTTAGATGATGGTGAGAGTCATTACAAAAGCTTTTTTAGCTTTACTACTTTAGCCCATGCTTTACGGGTCGATGTCCGCTCTGAGTAAAAAAAGGAAGCTTAACCTGGCGGGGAGGCATGTAAAGCCTGCGGGAAACCCTGCATCTCATTCAGTAATACATATGAAAGTGACCTGGTTCTAGTTTGAAAAAGATAAAATCAAACCTATATTTGCACCCATGTAAAGTAAGATGACAGTAATTCTTTTCATTTTTCTTTACCATGTTATTAATGTTTCCCGCTTCGTAAATTGGTAAGGGTATAAGTGTGTGAGTAAAGTGATTCTTTAGGACACCTGTGCTGGACTGTAGAGGCCGTCCTCATGCCTCTGTTGCCCATTTCCTCTGCCTCACTTATCTTCCGCAGCAGCTCCCGTTTTTCTTCCAGCAGCTTCTCATTTTCAGTCATCACCGTATTGATCCGTTCCTTCTCCTAAAAAAACCACAGAGGGAAGGAGGCAAGACAAAGAAATGTATCAAAGCTGGTGGGGAGCTTCAGAAAACATGATTTGAGAAATACTTGGAACTAAAAGGACCCAGGCGGGATGACGGGCTATGAGTGGGAGACCTTGTGTGAGAGGCTGRAGGCCAGTGCCAGGTCATTTTCTAGCTTCTGGATGGTGGAGTCCCTCTGAGCTGTTGCTTTAAGAAAAACCTGCTTGGCCTGAGACAGCTTGCTCCTGTGTTGACTCTGTTTTTCATTGTACTTCCTGGTTCGCGGATCAGAAGACGAAAACAAACAAAAAAAGATGTTAAACATTTAACGTCTGTGTGACTTRTCTGATCATTCTCAGCTGGAAGCTTATTTCTGAATGCTGCGTTTTATGTTGAGGTTAGCAGTGTGCATATCTGACCTGACACGTGCATCTAACTGAAGGAGAACCTGCTGAAGCTCCTCCTGCAGCCTTTCACACTCCTGCTGACTGGCCAGCAGCTCCTCCTGCAGTTTGTGGTTGGACTTCTGGCCAAGTTTTGCCTTGAGAGCAGATTCAAAACAGACACACTAGCATCAATTCGACTGCYGTGACTAACTGCACAGGTACAAGATTTGTACTGTTCCTACTGCTGGAGTTGTCAGCAACTCATTAAACATGATCGGTCTTAAAGACTGTACGAATAACATGCACATTTTTTAAAGAAATTATATCAACTCTGAATACAAACATTGCAAAACAGGTCATCAAACAAAGCTTTGTCATGTTGGGAGTAAAGATTTGTGTAAGTAAGTACGTATGTACGTACGTACGTAAGTACATATGTACGTACGTACGTAAGTAAGTACATATGTACGTACGTACGTAAGTAAGTACATATGTACGTACGTAC